GTCTAACGGCCCCAACAACTATTCGCCAAACGGAAAGAAATGTGAAAGTAGCCAGCAAGAAAGGAAAAACTTTTAAGACCAATACAGATGCATTTCCACCAAAGACTCCACTAAAGAGTTATACGCACGCACACACACAACTTCTGCTATCAGTTATCATATAGTCCTTTCACAAAATCTTTGATTTGCGGAATCTTAAGCCTAAGCTTAATCTGCATTCTGTATATGTACATACATATGTTCATATGTATGCACGAGTATGCAAAGCAGCCGTAACCAATTTAGCAATGCTCATTGGTGAGAAGAGCCTTTTTTTGAAAGCCCAGAATGAATTATCTTTCTACGTTTCTTGGAAAGAGTAAACCAAATAAATGTGCCGTACCTGGGTAATTACGATATTCTCGGCCTTAACATATGTATGCATGTACATACATATGTATGTACATCCCTGTGGTCAATAGTTTTTACGTTGGGGTTGACCCAACGTTTATTTGACGATACTTGCAAATTTTCACTAGGAAACTGATTTTGCTGTATATATGTACTTAAAGTTGTTTTTAGAAAAACTTGAATATGTTCGTTTGCTTTCCCGAAAAATGACTCCAACTGTTGCATCCAGATGCCCGCTGTTACACTTATCGGATAACACTTCATTAACGCTCACAATTTTTTCCTCCCCCCACGCCTAGTACTCATCCAATCAAGCCAACTAAAGCGAACTCAAACACCCAGCTAACCCCCCAAGAAAACTGTCTTCCATCCTGGGTGTGGAACATATTGTAGTCTCGCTAAAAGTCTATGAATAATTCACATATTGCCTTACCACAACCACTTCGCGCCATCCTTACATTGACGTCAGTAAAACATGGCCTAAACAGCTGTCGACCGCCAGCCACCCACTCTGACCAGTGGTAAGAGAGCCTGGGAAGAGAGCCAACCAGGCAAAGAGAACTCGAGTGAACACTGCGCATCCTGTTTGACGCATCGCGTGGCCAAGTTCGCATGAATGAACGGAGCTGAATGGCCGTGGACTTTAACGAAGAGAAGAGCGATACGAGCATGTGGGCTTAGGAGAGAAGGGATGTTCCGGGATTGCCATTTTTTTGTAAGGCCGCCATATGCTATGATTTTGGCATAGAAATGTTGCCGTTGTAGCACGCTTAATTTGCAAAAGTCTTCCATTCCTCTGCATTGGCTTGGATTGGTGTGTGTTAACCTGTTTCGCAGATTGCAACGCTCGCATCGGTGTATTAGAAATGTCAAAGTTAAGCAATCACAATACACACACAGATCGGCTTATAGACCATATTGAAAGTTTCATGCATGGCCCGAACAAGTTATTCAAATATGCTGCTCTCGAGAGTCGAGACGAAGACTGTTGTCAAGCACGTTTTTTCGAAGTTTTGTTGTTTTCCGTTGTTTTGTTGTTCTAGTATGCATTTCAAATATGCGGGCCTTGCCTTAAGCCGTTAGAAATGTAAACCTAACCACAACGTGTTGCACATTTGCATGCACAGTGGTTCACGATAGACCATAAAGGGTGTCAAATTGATATCAAATAGTTGTTAATATCATTATGCACGGACAGTATTTTCTCGGCGACTTGCTGACATTTTCTGCTTATATAAGCGAAAGTTAGCCCACAAAAAATCTAGAAATGTCGAATTTATAAATTAAAAATGCTTTTTTTTCTATCTAAATGAAAGAAAAAAGTTGCTGACTTCTTAGCATGCAGACAACCTTCTTGGTTTTATTGCTGCCCTCCCCCTGTACCCCTCTTTGTTTTGGCAATAAAAATAATTAAGAAAGTCGAAATGCTTTGACGTTGGTCAGCATTCTTTTGTGAAGGGGACTGCCGGTTTTCTTATATGCAGCTTACATCGCCGTAGACCCAAGGTAATCATTTTCGGTGTTTAAGCATTAACGAGTTGTCTGGACAGTGTTTTTGCTTTTCGAGGCGATTGAATCCGATTTTAAGATAACCTTATTTTGCCTGTATTTCAGATTTCAGTTAATTCTTCTTCAACGCAACCCTTTGATTTTTCAGCGTCACTAAATGTATGTACGAACATGTACACATGTATGTTTGTCTGGATGTATGGATGTATGTATGTACATACAGCAATAGAGAAGATTGCTTGGTTTTAAATCCGCATATGAGGCATTTTTCCTGTTTCCATGTGTTCTGGACGGCCCTTATCAATGAGATGTGTAAAGTTTAAACATTATTTTGGCCGCTCGGTGGCAAAAATTTGTATTTCTTATCACATAAATAATCCACAAGAATAAAAAATCTTTGGATAGAAAATGTACATTGTTTGAACATGAAGTGCGTTGCTTCCTAAAATCGTTTGAGTCGATTTTCCATGTAAAACCCCACAGATTGTGTGACCTGACCCGTAATCAAAGCAGTTGCTGGTTTTTTCCCTACCAAATGACTTCAACGAAATTCCCCTGTTCTTAAACAAACATAGTATGTACGTATGTATGTATGTACATTTGCATGTATACAATATACACACATGCATCAGTGCATATGAATATGAATTTAGCGATTACGAGACATTTTAATGATGCCTTTGGTCTGGGAACTCTTCCAGTCATTCAACTGATGGGGTAGCACTCAAATATCTCTTAATGAAATGGAAAGGGTGATAACAATAGTCGGGATCTGGGCTGGAAAATACTCGTAATTCGTAGGACTCATAAAACCTGACAACAATATCCCGTTCTGGCCTATTTTTTTACCCTTTTTAATTTTTTGATTTCCCTTTTATTAAAACTGATTATCTGTACGTATAATTATTTATAGTTTGTTTGTTATGGCTCGTCGGGGGAAAAACCTCAGGGAATCATTATTCACTTTAATTTTTTGTCCCCATCTTTAAATGGAAAGCGGTCCACTAACCTAATCAGAAATAAGCATTTTAGCCCTTATCTGTTTTTTTCGCTCTTGCTTTTTGGTTACGAAATATTTTATGATAAGATTCTTGATATGCCTGAAGAGTCTTTGGAGTGATAATATATAGTTATTATTAAAATACTCAAAAATGAGAAAGACATAGTAATGAGCAACCTGCCATAGAGCACTCATAAGCCCTTGGTCGTGGACCTACATTTACCATTGAATAGATTGAAGAGGAGCGTTCGGAATTGTATCGAGAAAGAGTATTGGAACAAAGATTTTATGAACGGATTAATACGCTCTGGTTATAGGAAACATTAGCGTTCACAATTACACGGATAAAATTGCATTCGAGAGATGATCTAAATGATCGCACGCCTGGGGTGCACTGGTATATTGTAAGGTTTACTTCGGAAAAACACACAAAAAGCAAGCCATGAGCGTATTTTCCCGGGTAGCGGGGCTATTCACATTGCCTACATTGTCATGTAGAGTTAATTCGCTGAGGCACATTATCTTCCGAATAGTAATGACACTGAGGAACCGTACCGTGTACCGTGTTGACACGCCGCAAAGTGCAACAGCAGCAGCAATCGAAAAAGTCATTACTTTGCATTTAGACCAGCTGATAGCGGCGCCTCGGACTAGCTCGACCGCTTATCAGCGCTCCATGTGTCCTCCGCACAAGTAGCCGTAATAGATTTTTCTTTTTGCCTCAGCGTGCTTCCCCTACAAGACAGTGCGGCAATTTTAGTGAAAGGCTGGACGGTCGGACGGGCGACATGTACTCATTACTATTTCCGCTGCGATAAGCAAAAGACGTCGACATCTCTTCTACTCCGTAAACAAAGTTCAACGCAGCCGCAGCCCCAGCTGCTGAAAACATTTCATTATATGGAAACATTTTTACTTCTACTGCTAGATTGGTTTGTGGGGGCGATAGAGAAATACAAAACTGAAATGGGTGGAATCGCTCGATAATGATAAAATTCTTTTAATTTCTTGGAAATCTTAAATTATCATTATCGCTCAACACAAAACACCTTTGTAGTAGAACAAAACATCTAACTTACGAAAAGCAATGCCGTATATAACTCAACTGTTATCAACACCATGTAAATTGATATATTTGAACACGGAAAATCACTAAAAATTGCCTTTTTTCCTCAATGGAATGGAGTAGCAGCTCTGATAAAGGCCTTGAGGTTACCTTTCCTTTCCGATGCCTGTAGTTTTGTTCTCCCCTGTTCTGTCATGTCAAATCATATTTACATTTTTGGCGAAAGCTTTCTTGAGGGACGCCAATGTGCGTGTTTCTCCCGGAACACCCCTTCATAAACCAAAAACCCAACTAAAACTCGGGTGTGTTGTATATTTTGGTGTCTGATGTTTGGTAGCCGGGCAATTCGATTAGATTTTTGTATTCAGTCTGTTGGTGAGCGTTGATGAAATTGATGTTGGTGAGCGTTGGTGAAATGTTGACTTTTTGATGGGACTGTTTTTAGACAGAGTGTTTTGTTCGAGTGGCTGCTTTAAGATTGGAGTTATCTATGGTGAACGCACACATACAAATTTGATCTGTTAGGAAGAACGAAGACCATCAGTAGGGATTCCCAACTTAATTTCGTTTTTTTCTGTCGCATTCAACTCAAGAATAAGTTTACTTTTTTCCCCCAACTGATAAGCGTTATGTGTGGTCATTAAAATGTTTTTCTTCTGATTTTTAAATGCAGTTTTGTTTTCGTATAAACAAGAAACCTGAAACCTTCAAATATGAACAGAAATTACTTAATAATCTTGTACTAAACGTTTCATCGGTCAGGGATTACAGCTCAAAGTTTGGGCCAATAGTCAAATGCTAAAACACAAACATTTCCACTGTTATTTGGTGATTAGTAAGCACAATATGAATATACACTCGTCTCTGCTAAATTGTTGACGAACATTGTCTTATCGTTTCGCCGAAGTGTTCGGTTATGGCTTTCCTCATTTACTACCTACTCTTTGTTCATATCAAGCTTATTTTCTGTAACAAAAGTTCTCGAGTATAAATCGATAGAGAAACGCATGCACTGCTAATAAATGGAACACTCACCGGATCTAAGTCGGAGTCCCATATGTCTTTGAGGTCGCCATCGTAGAATTCCATGGTTATTTAAGGTTGATTTCTTTGTTGCGATCTAAGAACTAATGATCTGCCGGTTGGGTGTTTTGGGTATGATTTGGTTCCAAGTCTGTCGTTTCTATGCTAATCCACTTATAGAACTATCAGCTTAATGCTCATAATTATAATACTCTCATTGAATTTTATAATTTCCGTGCCTCAATTCTGTTGTATTTATTTGTGTTATATTTTCTCTTTGCGCTCTCTTGTTTATTTCCTCTTCTCTTATTAAATGGAAACCTGTTGCTTCCAGAGAATGTTTTCACTTGACATTGTTATGGGCTGTGTGCCTGTGTGTTTGTTTGTATCTGTGTGTGCGCAGTGTGATTCTGCCTATTGAGTGTGCGAGTGTGTTCCGGGACGGGCATTCGTTCGCGTATGAATAAGTGTGTATCTGAGTGCGGATCTAACTTGCTTTACAACTTGCGGCCCGATTCAACTTGTTGCATTCTTCTTTTGCCTCTTAGTATATTTTTCTTAGGAATTTATTGAATTCTTAACTCTTTTCCGTTTCAAAAACACTCGTTTTTCATGAAAATTATGATTTTTATATTTTTGTTCTCGTTTTGAGTACCTGTAATAAGTTTATCTGATATAGTTTTTATCGTGTTTTGTGTTGGATAGCCATATAAATTGATTTGGTTTAATTTTCTCGATTGGACTCTACAGTTAACTTTCCGGAACCGTGAAGAGTGGCACTTAATATGTGTGTTTAATTTTATTAACAATTTGAGTTCCCGTAGTGCGACCGCATCCAAAAACAAAACGAGATATTATTATGATTAGATATTTTTTTCAAAAATATATTTTTGTTTTTGCGGTATACGCTGATCTTTATTTTATACCAAAACTCGACACTAATTCTGTTGTTTCATTGTTCGTGGCTAAAATTTTTGTGAGACCATTTTCCAAATTCTGGCTACATTTTTACTACTCATGTTGCTAGAAAACATGTTGCTGTAATCATGAAGGGTATTAGAACAACGAGGTGGCGCTTCGCAATATTCACATGTTGCTGGCATGTTGACAAGAGCCACCTCGTTCAGCTAGTACCCCTTGCTAGTTCAACTACCATGGAAAACTGATGGTAGGTACGGCCACTCTGGGCTAAGTTTACCCTCTTTATTAAAGTGAAAGGAATAAATATATATATACATATATATTAATGTGTCTTATAAGAAAGCCAGAAAGCCCCCCCAAAGATAGCTGCAATTTTAATGCCACAACACTCTTTAAGAACAGCAAGTCATCATTCCTTAGGCAGATATGCGAGGAGGCTGACATCAACCCTTGGCCCAGTCGTCACCAGGAAGTTTATAATAGTAAGCTATCTGTCGATAAGTATCTTTATACGGCATACACTAGTTCCATGCTGTCGCCAATCCCCTATCTGAAAAGATTCAAAAGGGTGCCACGCTTGGCGGAGAGCGCCCATAGTAGCCAACCCAAGTCTATGTCTACGGGTAGTCTACCTTTTTGACTGGTAAGGGCCAGTCACGTCTCTTAGAGATTCTTAGTAAATTGTATACAGTGGATTGTCTGTATGTATATTTCACCGAGCAAAAGAGAAAACAATCTCTTTGGATACATTTCACGCTCTTCGAAGCCTGGTCTAAAGCGAATGTAAGCCGGCTTTTTCGTCGAGCCGAGACTCTCGGCATAGCAAAGAAAACAAGTTTCTTCCGACGCGATGCGTTGCGTTGTGGCAACATTTGTTAACCTGTTTTTTATTATAGATTTTTTTTGGTATTCGATTTGGCCTGCGAGGGTTCCGTTTCCCTTTGCCACCAGACCTAGCTTTGGTTGTCACTCGGCTGCCGCTTGGAAGCCCCAGGGCTGGCTCTAGAGTTGCGATCGGTTGATCTTGTCAACTTGACCAAGTTATTTGAACTATGCACATGTGCAGTCGACACTTATACATACATAGCTAGCCTTTTGTTTTGTGATTTGAAGGCAGGCAGGCTGTTGTCGGAGCCATTGCCGGGTTTAGGGCCGGTCTGCAGTAGCGACGTCAGAGCATAAAGTGAATGTACTTTCGAAGCAAAGATCCGGTTTAAAGAAGCCTTTGAATGAGCAAGAGATACTGCTTGTGTAATACATATGTACATACAGACATATGTATGTATGTATGAAAAAGATTGGCCCCTTCCCATGCATTTCATATGTTTCAACATGACCCAACATTAAACTTAGAAACAATGATTTGTTTCGGGAACATCTTTATGCACAGGTGTTTCTCAATTTTGTTAAGCTTAAACTTTTTATATGCATTGTATATTGTATGATGGCTAAGTTTAGGATCGGCTGAAGAATGCCCATAAAAAACACTTGGATTAACCCAGAAAGCCGGTACATAGAGATTATGTGGTGCATGCATAAGTACATATGAATGTACATATGTATGTACATACATACATATTCATACATTCAAGGGGGCCAGAGTCAATTATTTTTATTTCCGGTACCTAAAGAGTAAATAGGGTATATTGTATTTGTGGTAAAAAAAAAGGTAACAGAAAACTAAAAATGCCATTCCGTAGGGAATGACCATACCTATTAAACCACAGAACCTTAGCTTTGTGCGTATCGAACCACTTACGTAAATTGACTGGATCAAACAAATTCTCAGAAATTTTTTGCTTATGTATGCATGTTATGTGTACATATTTATTGAATTAATCGCAATCTCATCATTAATGTGCATTGTGTGCGAGAGTGTATGCACACATATGTACATACATATGTACATGTACTGCACGGGATGAATGTATTGCGCTCATATTGTACTTGTACATTATTCGTCATGCATTCGGCCGCATTTGAACCCGCATATTCTTACACATTTATATCTTAGTGGAGTGACGATTTCTGTGGGATTGCTTAGGGAGACTCTGTTCAGGATTTTCCTGTAAGTTATTATAAATAGGCAGACCGTAGATGTAGGTGAATCAAAACCAAACCTCTCTTCACGTGGCTTTTCGCTTCTCTTTTGTTATCTTAACAGACAGTGGCGATCTTTTACAGTTATATAGCATGCGTACATATACGTGTGTATATATATGTAAATATGTATATGTAGATAAAACGAGTAAGAACGTTTGTGAGACGCTTCGCATGCGTCACAACCTTTTTACGCGGTACTCAGTCAGTATATCTGTACCTTAGTGGTTTTTTCGAATATTACATTTTTCTACGCCTGTAATCCAAATTACTTTGCCTTTTTAGGTCGCCACCCTCTGCCGCTTCATGAGGTAGAGTGTGCAAACCAGAAAGAAAAACGAGAAGGGACGTGTGAGACGCTTCTTATGTGTCACAACTTTTATACCCGGCACTCAGTACTACATTTGCACCTTAGCGGTGTTTTGTTAAATTTTAAATATTTTCTTCAACTGTGATCTACATCTACAACACTGCTCACACCAACACGCTCCTTTAGCTCGCCGCCCTTCCGATACCCACACACGGCAGAGGGAGGGCAGAGACAGAGACCGAGTGAAGCAGAAGTAGAATGTGAAAAGAACAACAACAGCTGCGGGACAGGGTGGGTGGCCACTGGAAATTAATTTCTGCATTGTGGCTATAATAATGATCCGATCGGATTGGTGATCTGATAGATATGGCCATTTCCAACGGAATTGCGTTTTTAGTTTTCTTTTATCTTCAAGGGCGTGGCTCATTTTTTAAATACACTGTTTTCAGTGTGAGCATACAGCAGTCCGGAGTCAAAATTTGGTGGCTCTAGCTCTTAGTCTCTGAGAACTAGCCGACAAACAAGACGGACAGACGGACAGACAGACATGGCTCTATCGACTCGGCTATTGATGCTGATCAAGAATATATATACTTTATGGGGTCGGAAACGCTTCCTTCTGTGCGTTACATACAAACGTTATTCGCACAAATACAATATACAATATACAATATTTACTCTTTGAGTACCGGGTATAATAAATTCTTGAAATCTGTTTCAATTATCATGAGAAATGCCTTAATTTGATGTTAATATTACTAGAATATACAAAAAATATATTTAACGTCAATTCTGTGACCATATTGTTGATTAGAAAATGTATAAATATAAAATAACGAAAAGTGCTTAAATGAGTACATGCGAGTTTTTTTTTAGTTTTTTTTATTTTTCGCTATGTAAAAGCACATTTGTATTTTGTGTCTATTTGTTAAGGATAAAGTGATTAAAATTTAAACAAAAATTGGTTACGTTTGCATTATGCGTCTAGAAGTTATGGGCGACGAAAGTCAGTTATTGTGAACATGTAATCATCATTGCTCCCCACTATATGCACTATATATGCACTATATGCACAAATGTACATACATATATGTATGTATGTATTTATACACTTTCTGTGAATTTATTATTTTATTTGTGAATCACATCGAAAAGTTATTGTTATTCTGTTGAGCGAACAATAGAATATGGAGCACGTCGAAGTTTCGTCTGGTGTGGACACTCTTGTAAGTGGTTTGTTTCTTTTTAATTTGTGACAGAAATATAATCTGCACTTGAGATTTTCTTTAAAATATAATTTAGAATCATGACATATTCTCTTGATTAGATTCCTTTGCCTCCAACTTTTTTCCTCAAAGAAAAAACCCGACTTTTTTTTATAGATACTATTTTTCGGTCCATAACATTTTTTAATGAATTATTATTTGTTTTATGTCAGAGGAAGCGGTTTGTTTTTTTTTACATTACTTCAGTATCTTAGATCTGATTGTGAAGAACTATGATTTTCTGAAAAGCTGATTGATGCAGCTAAAAAGAGGAATCAAACACCTTGTGGTTTAAGCGTACCGTCTGGAAAATATTAAGCTTTAAAATACAAAACCATCGATTTTTGTGCGCCATTGTTAACCTGGTTGTGAAAGAGTTTAAGGCTAAGAAGAAAAATAGGCCCCCCATAACTCTTCCTAGTAGTGAGGCCAGTGGTCCTTCCTCCTCTGCTCCATTCCCCTCTTCCCACTGCAATTCCTTGCAGTCAAAAAACTAACATCCCTCTTTGTAGCCTATCAAAATGCTCGCGGCTTACGTAGTAAGCTGAGCACTCTTTTTATGGATAGTTTCACATTTTCATCCCATGTTATTGTTTTTACCGAAACCTGGTTAAAGCCGGACATTCTTAGTTCCGAAGTTTTGGCAGATCGGTACACAATTTATAGGAATGATCGTTCGTCTCGACGTGGAGGAGGGGTTCTGATTGCAGTAAACTCTAACTTTACGTCGGAACTTTTCATAGTCCAGGTCTCACAAGACCTGGAATTCCTCTGTGTTAGACTGATTCTTCCCGGCCAGTCTATTTATGTCACTTGCTCGTATATTCCACCGTCTTCGGATGTACTAATATACGAGCAGCATTTGTCTGCCTTAAAAACTGTTTCTTCCTCGCTATCAGATAAAGACCATTTAATAGTTCTTGGGGATTTCAACCTGCCAGGTACTGTCTGGTCTTCGGTTAACGAGTCAAACAACCTTGTGCCCATGTCACGACATGAGTTTATTGATGGCTTATTAGACCTGTCCCTGTCTCAAGTCAACCATGTAAAAAACTCCTTGGGTCGATTGCTTGATCTGTGCTTTGTCTCGGATCCGACCGTAGCGTTGTTNCTCATTTCGGGACCATTTGCTCTTCCAAATTTTGGCCAGAGCACCTGGTTGTGAAAGAGTTTAAGGCTAAGAAGAAAAATAGGCCCCCCATAACTCTTCCTAGTAGTGAGGCCAGTGGTCCTTCCTCCTCTGCTCCATTCCCCTCTTCCCACTGCAATTCCTTGCAGTCAAAAAACTAACATCCCTCTTTGTAGCCTATCAAAATGCTCGCGGCTTACGTAGTAAG